AATGAAAGCTTTGATATTTATTTATCTTTAAAGTCAATATTTTATAATAATATGAGTTTATTTATGAATTTAGACAGGAAATGAGGCTAGTGTAGATCGTTTAATGAAACAAATTACAGGATTCATTTCAGAAATTACAGATGAATTTAAGGTGATTATTGTAGATGCAGTACGATCTTTATGTCTTAAATTTCCATCAAAACAAGTTGTTATGCTTGGTTTCTTAAGTGGAATTTTAAGAGATGAAGGTGGATACGAGTTTAAACGAGCTGTAGTTGAGGCTATATTTGATTTGGTTAAATTTATACCTGAATCCAAAGAAACGGGTAAATTAAATATATGATCAAGTATATGTTGATATTTTTTTTTTTTTGATTTAAATAAGCGTGTCACTAAATAACGAAAAATTTTTTTTAACAGCTCTAACACAATTATGTGAGTTCATAGAAGATTGTGAATTTACAAAGCTTTCTGTACGTGTACTTCACCTCCTTGGAGTTGAAGGACCAAAAACTACTACACCTACAAAATATATTCGTTATATATATAATCGAGTGATTTTAGAAAATTCTACTGTAAGAGCTGCTGCTGTTAGTGCACTTGCGAAATTTGGCGTAAGTGTAGATGATCCAGAAGTAAAAAAAAGTATAAAAGTTTTACTCACTAGGTAATGATTATGGCAATATGAATAAAATTAAACAAAATCAATAATAATTGATTTCACAAAAATTTTTTTATTTATTTGTAGATGTTTAGACGACAACGATGATGAAGTAAGAGACAGGGCAACATTATACTTAAAATTAATGGAAGATGAATCTGGCGCTGAAAAATATGTTAAAGATGGTCAGTTGTTAAATTTATTATTATTTATATAATTGTAGATATAAATCTATTTTGGTCTTAAAAAAAATACATAGATGTTATAAATTAATCTCTATTTTTTTCAATTATATAGATTCTACTTATTCACTTGCTGCACTTGAAAGACAATTGGTGCAATATGTAAGCAATCCAGAGTCAGCAGAAAAACCATTTGACTTGTCGTCTATTCCTAAAATCACTAAAGCTCAAGCTGAAGCTGAAAATTCACAACCTCGAAGCTTTGATTTGTCAGCTACGCAAACTATTGGAGTATCATCACCCGTCGTTTCAGGAATTGTTAATTCTTCAATTATTAGTACTAGTAGAGATGCAACCCCTACACCAGGAGTTGATCAACAACAAGTTTATGTACAACAATTGGAAAGGATACCTGAAATAGCAGCATTTGGAGTCTTATTCAAAAGTTCTAAAGCAATTGAACTCACAGAAAGCGAAACAGAGTATGTTGTTAGTTGTATTAAACATATGTTCAATGAACATGTAGTCTTTCAGGTAAAAATCTATATTAAAT